ACATGTCTCTACATCGCTAATCACTACATAGACTAAAAGCATCTACACCAAAATACACGTCTCTACTCTTCTGATCACAACACTACAGTGTGGTTTAATTCAATTAATTAATATAAGCTTTGTTGATTACAATAATCAGTGCCAATTGTGAAGAAACTGATCTGGCATCGACAATCTTTGATCGAGTTAATGTTTCAAATCGTGTTTGGCGATGCACCTGAACACTATATTGTTTTAACTTAACAGTGTTGAACATAAATCAGTCGGTCCTCAGACACTGGAACATGCTTGATATGTGTCAATACATGTGTACCTCTTTGGGTATTCTCAGTTAGAACTGATCCGTAGCAACCTATGCTGATTGTTAGAGGCGACTAAATGGATTGAGTGGTCAGGATGGTTGGTTCGTGACACCGTGCCCTGACGGCGTGGACCGGTGTTCGCAGTATCAATCACTGGATTCATTATTTTCAGGAAGCTGTCGTATAGGTAGAATGCGGCTGACTGCTGCCTTAAACAACAGACACCTGAACGCACACACGAAATCTCTCCCCCCCCCCCCCCCCCCCCCCCCACACACACACACCTCTCGCTCTCCCTCTCTTACACACACACACACACCACAAATATTTGTTCAGACGTTTTCAAGGTTTTGACTTTGAAGTTCGGCATTCATTGCTGGGTAGCCGTGATCTTTACCATGTGCTACAGGTGATATTATTCACCTTTGTGGTGTATGTATCTAGACACATAAAAATACAGGCACATGTTTATGAGGTGAGAAAGAATAGCACATATCATCACTCCATTTCATTCGCTTTTGATATTCTACATTCAGCGAACTGCCGCTTACAGACAATACTGACTTAGGTAGTCATTTTACGGGCGCTTTCATAAATCACCACAGCCGCGCGAGCAGATGTTATCAATGTCATTATACTGGGCAGGAAGCGGAGAATGCATTGAAATAGCCCCTTCAACATCTCACTTATGGCCTATTCTTACCCGGGTACGACCAATACACGTACGACTTTCAACCTACCGAAGGGGAGAATAGACCACAAAGGTTGTTAGTACCCGTGAAGATCCGGGGTAGAATAGGTCTTCAGCAACCCATGCTTGCCGTAAAAGGCGACTAACGGGATCGAGTGGTCAGACTCGCTGACTTGGTTGATGCATGTCATCGATCCAAATTGCGTGGATCGATGCTCATGATATTAATCACTGGATTGTCTGGTCCAGACTCGATTATTTACAGTCCGCCGTCATATAGCTGGAATATTGCTGAGTGCGGCGTAAAAACAAACAAACAAAACAAAAACAAAAACAAACAAAGGTTGTTAGAATTATACGTCGTACACTGGTCGTAAGAGGCGACTAAATGGTCTGAGTGGTCAAGGTCGTGCTATCGTACCCCGGCGTGGATCGTTGTCCGCAATATCATCACTGGAATGTCTGGTCCAGACTCCATAACTTAAAGACCGCGGTCATTTAGTGACTGCGGCGTTAAGCAACAAAATAAAAGCCACAAAGTCCTTTCCATTTTCATAAGAAATAGATTGTACGATTCCGATCATATCATGTGCATGTGTTTATGAATCACTAAAAAAGGTGATGATACTAGGTGTTCGCGAAAACGTGAGCGTGTCCTCTTCCACGGGGGCAAGTCACCAACACATGCAAAGGCAAATCAATTATTCATCAGCAAGCAAAAAACACGGAAACAAATGGTACCAAAAAAGAATATGGGAACATATGGTACAAGTCAAAATAGGGAATTGCATCGGACTTCATTTTTGTCACTGATGCGTCAAATTTGGAAATGTCCTCCACATGTCTACCATTAAACGTTTTGAAAGCTTTACTGAGGCATTGAATGATGTAACCTTCATCGAATAACTTCAGAGCAAGAGTCGTATGACGCTCTTTGAAAAAGACAAACCTGTTTGAATGTGGGAGATGAGTAAACTATTCTATTCGGGACCGAATAGTGTGATCCTACTTGAAACTCGAAGTTGAATTTAGATATGTTTCTTTCATCAATCTGTATAATGTTTGGTTCGACTCATCTGTAATCTAAACACTAAAATCTGTTTCGCTTGTCCGAAAAACCTTGAAGTTGACATCATAACCTTAAGATTAAGAGAACATATTTGTACTGGCCTCTCGTATGATCAGCATAGAGGATAAATGCATGGTTTGTTGTGTTGTCGAAACACTGAACATGTGCATACAGACACTTATCTTCCTTTTTCTCAGCTTATATTAAACATCAAGTAGGTCAATATACATAATCATGAATTATCTTGTTTTTTAATGAATATGATCTATTCTGAGAAGAGTGAGTGAGTGAGGTAAGATTTAACGTCACATCGGCAGTATTTCAGCCATATCGTGACGAGTATTCTGAGAAGAACACTGGGATCTGCTCCGAGAAGAACACTGGGTATGAATCGTCATCTTCTTCCGGTGTGTTTTGGCGAGATTAATGCAACATTTCATTCGCTTTGGGGGGCACGGGTTGCCCAGTCGTCTAAGGCCCCGCGATTCGCTGTGCAGAGTTGCGTCCCTTGGGCACGTCAGAAACCTATGATTATGGGTTCGAATCCCGGTTCGCCCCGATTTTGTTTCTAGGTTTGTCAGCACCATACCCGTGCTCGTGGGTTTCACCGACGTGGTAAACGTCTGAGACCTGCATCACTACGGGTTTTCCTCCCACATTAAGCTTACACGCCGTGATATAACTGGAACACTGTTAAAAGCGGCGTTAAAACCAACTCACTCACTCACTCACTCAAGACGAGGGAGGATCACTCATTCAACCACTTCTTAAGGTTTTTCTTCAGACGCTATTATTGTCAGTAAGGTGGCTGCACATAGTCCTTATTGTCCCAGTAAGAAAATCCTACTCAGAGGACTACCGCTAGTTCCGGCTTGACGAAAAGGTTCGTGCGATCTTATTCCAACGCCGCCCGTCCAATAAGCGACAAAACCATTTCTATTATCAAGCGAAATCTCAGCGTCCGTTGTACGATGCCGACCTTATCATAACCATGTTTTTATGAAACACTATCATATAGTGATGACACTAGGTGTTTGCGAAAAGGTAGGCGTATCATGTTCCACAGTGGTATCCGTCACAGACACATGCAAAGGCAAATCAATTCTTCACGGGAAACACGGGAACATAAATAGGGAACTGCATCGGACATAATTTTTGTCACTGATGCGTCAAATTTCGAAATGCTCTCCACATGTCTACCATAACACTTTCTGAAAACTTTACCGAGGCCTTGAATGTTGTCACAACCTTTCATATCATCTTTACTTTTCGCTTTGACACATTACATTCGTCAGACCGACACTTGCACATCCGGCACTGACTTTAGCAATCATTTTACGGTCGCTTTTATAAACACCACAGCTGAGGTTCACAAGTTAAAACTCCACCCTGATCACAACAATGGGTCTGTCAGGGCCGTGTAGTCGTAAAACCTAGCAAGCGGATAATGCATTGTAATGGCTCCTTCAACATATCATCTTCGTTTGTTCGTTGTTTAACGCCGCACTCCGCAATATTCCAGCTATATGACGGCTGTCTTTAAATAATCGGTATTTGACGCATCAGTGACAAAGTAATATCTGAAGCAATTCCCTATTTCGACTGGTTCCATGTCCCCGTGGGTGTTGTGGGTAAACAATTGACTTGCATTTGCATGTGTTTGTTACGGGTGCTACTGGTGCTGCGTTTTTAAAAAGTATTAATACTTCGCCATTTGATGAACGTGCCGTTGTCAACCACACAGTTCCGGACGGCAACAGTGTCAGTACAGACAAATTCTTTGAAAAAGTGAGTGAGTCAGTTTGGTCTTTTGAGTTGGGTTTTGACACCTTTGAACAGCTTTTCATTTACAGTATATCACCACCATCAGATGGTATTTGAAGGGATACAGGTCTTGGACATTTACCATTTGGGAAAAAAATCCCACGAGAACGAATATGATGTATAAACAAGGCAAATCATGGATTCGAACCCGCTATCATAGGTTTCTTGCACGCCTAAGGGACACAACTCTGCACAACAGCTTTCAGCGATAAGGAGGTGTAGTGAGAGAGAGAGAGAGTGAGTATGGTTTTACGCCGCTTTTAGCAATATTCCAGCAATATCACGGCGGGGGACACCAGAAATGGGCTTCACACATTGTACCCATGTCGGGAATCGAACCCGGGTCTTCGGCGTGGCGAGCGAACGCTTTAACCACTAGGCTACCCGACCGCCCCTAGGAGGTGTAGTGAGGTGAGGTGAAATGGTGTTTACGTCACGTCCAAGATTATTGCACTTATATAGCGACGTGCATGCATGTGTGTGTGTGTGTAGCTGCTTGTACGAGTCAGGACTGATGCCGATTTCTAGTGATAGCCTACTGAGATACCATGCCGCAGTTTAACATGAATACCCCACTCAGACACAGTAAACTGACTCCGAGCCTACCAGTCCTTGTTTAAGCCCCTTAATGACGAACGCCAGACAGGGTAACAACAAGTACCATCTTTTAACGTCTTTTGGTATGATGCGGCCGGGAATCGGACCCCGACCTTCCGCTCTCCGGGCGGACGCTCTACCACTAGACCACGGAGGCGGTCTTCAGCGATAAGGAAGAGTATCGCGTGATGGATGTGAGAAAGTTATAACTGACACCACTATGGATGAGCTGACGACGAGTTGGTTTCATGTTGAGCAAAATAAATAACGAAATTACCTCTCAGTTAAATTGATGTGACCGTTTATGCAAAAAACATTTCTTTCAACATCTGGGAAATGTTTGGTTGGATATATTTGTAATCTAAGTACTAAATAGGGTTTTTGAATGTTATTTGTTTGTTTATTTGTTGTTTAACGCCGCACTCAGCAATATTCCAGCTACATGACGGCGGTCTGTGAATAATCGTGTCTGGACCAGACAATCCAGCGATTGACATCATGAGCATCGAGCCACGCAAATGGGATACGATGACATGCATCAACCAAGTCAGCAAGCCTGACCACCCGATCCCATTAGTCACCTCTTACTTCAAGCATAGTCGCCTTCACGGCAAGCATGGGTTGCTGAAGACCTATTCTACCGCTGTCCGTAATACCTTGTACGTGACATCATGACTGTACCATGAAGTTCAGAGGATAAATGCATGCTTTGATGTGTTTTCGAAACATTAAGAATGTACATGCAGACATTTATCTTCCACTTTTTCCCTAAGAAAAACATCAAGTAAGTCAATGTACATAATTATGAACCATCTTGTTTTCAAATGAAGAATATGATCTACTCTGAGAAGAACAGTGGATATGCTTCGTCATCTTCTTCCGGTGTGATGCGGCGAGATTTCTTCTTAGGTGGCCCGCCATCTTGAATATTGTGTTCTTGCCAAGTTTCAACGTGTGGTTCCGGGTCGAAGTCACCGATGTTCGGCAAGTTATGGAAAATTCGCAGCTGGTCGCGCACTTCATCGGCTTCCAGGCTCTCCACTTTATTTCGTCGCTGAAGATAGTGAAACCCCCTTTCAACTTCAACCGACTGTCCAGGAAGGGTGAGAATAAACGATAGAACGGCGAGGACATTCTCACACTTGCCCTTACAAGTCGGTATGATGCTTTCCCACGATGTATTAACAGGACTTGAAAATCTGTCATAAACAAAACCAAATGTCAATACCTTGCATTAATGAAACCAGTCACATTTTCATTGATGTAGTTTTAATTTCTCTTTCTATTGATCAACTCTACACCATGTATATCCCCTTGACAACAAAGACGGCGGTAACGTAATGAGCAAGAAAATAGATCCTTTGACATTCCCGTTAACAATTATGTTAACATATGAATGGTTACAATCCATCAATGTTATGTAGCCGGACTTCTTATTGCCAGTGTGAACTTTATCAATTTTTACCCATCCTCTGTGTAATTGTCTGTTTGAATTTGATTAATGTCACGACTGTCTAGAAAAGTGAAGATGATATGAAAGGTTGTTGACCAACGTGACAACATTCAAGGCTTCAGTAAAGCTTTCAGAAAGTTTTATGGTAGACATGTGGAGGGCATTTCGAAATTTGACGCATCAGTGACAAAAAAGATGTCCGATGCCGTTCCCTATATATGTTTTTTGCAAGTGAAGAATTGATTTGCCTTTGCATGTGTCTGTGATGGATGCCAAAGTGGAACATGATACGCCTACCTTTTCGCAAACACCTAGTGTCATCACTATTAGATAGTCTTTCATAAATACATGGTTATGATAAAGTCGGCATCGTACAACGGACGCTGGGATTTCCCTTGATAATAGAAATTGTTTTGTCGCTTATTGGACGGACGGCGTTGGCATAAGATCGCACGAACCTTTGCGTCAAGCCGGAACTAGCGGTAGTCCTCAGAGTAGGATTTTCTTACTGGGACAATAAGGACTATGTGCAGCAACCTTACTGACAATAATAGCGTCTGAAGAAAAAACCTCAAGAAGTGGTTGAATGAGTGATCCTCCCTCGTCTTGAGTGAGTGAGTGAGTAAGTGAGTGAGTTGGTTTTAACGCCGCTTTTAACAGTGTTCCAGTTATATCACAGCGTGTTAGCTTAATGTGTGAGATAAGCCCGAAGTTATGCAGGTCTCAGACGTTTACCACTTCGATGAAACCTCGAGCACGGGTATGGTGCTGACAAACCTAGAAACATAATCGGGCGGATTCGAACCCACAATCATAGGTTTCTGGCGTGCCCAAGGGACGCGAATCGCGACTGGGCCACCCGTGCCCCCGACAGACAGACAGACAGACAGACAGACATACTCATTACTCGGCTCTTGCAAACATTAGGTAGAGGGAGCCTACTAATACAAGAAACAAAATATTAATACATTTGTCTCAGGTTTAAAAGGTTTGCAAGAACAAAACGTGTTGTGTAAAAAAATTGGCCCTACCTTTCAAAGAATGGTTGGTCCCAAAGTGAAAATACAGCCACGGTCGTGTTTCTAAGCACCAAAAAAAGGGGACATAACTCGACCTACCTCCGCCGGACATGGTTTTTCAATTGAGACCACTCCATCAGACACTTGTCGATGTCGACTCCGCCTTCGCGCAGGATATTGCCGTAAGTCTCAACAATCAGTAGCAGATCCTCATCGGCATAGTCTGAAAATTTCACAGGTGGAGTGAGTGAGTGAGTGCGTGAGTGAGTTGGGTTTAATGCCGCTTTTAACAGTATTCCAGTTATATCGCAGCTTAATGTGGGAGGAAAGCCCGAAGTGATGCAGGTCTCCGACGTTTACCACTTCGGTGAAACACTTCGGTGAAACACTTCGGTGAAACCCAAGAGCACGGGTATGGTGCTGACAAACCTAGAAACATAATCGGGGTTAACATGGGATTCGAGCACACAATGATAGGTTTCTGGCGTGCCCAAGGGACGCAACCCCGCACAGCGAATCGCGGCGCCTTTGACGACTGGTAGAAAAGCGGTTGACTGGCTGTGTTGCCAAACCATGCCCATATTTTACATATTTGATGTTTATGAAATGTATTGAAACAGTCAGAATAAAAGTGTGTTGTTTTTCTTTGGGAGGGTACAATGCTGACGAAACATAACCTTGTTTTCTGTATACTAGTTGCTGTTATTCTGTTGTTACTTCAGTCCGGAGCCCCAAATCGACCATCGCCTTACGACTGTCATAAGTCTATGTTAAAGTATGGGAGTTAACATCATCTTAGTGCTACAATCGCTTTGTGGGACGGGGCCCTGATCTTAACCCGTCTCAAATTGAGGAAAAATGTTTCCTGGGCATTTTATTTGGAAAGCACGGTATTATCCGAAACATGGACCCATCATATAAGAGTCGAAAGGCTGATTTTTCTATCAGAATATTTTTGCACAATAATAACAGACGACTTCTTTAGAACTGCAGTTAGTTGAAACGTCCCTCGATTTAGTATTTTGATTTGTTTCGAAATATAGAATAAGGGTTGCTTGACGACTTATTCAAGGCGTGATTCGCAAGTAAAGTAAGGGTCCTCCTACACAAGTCATTGGAATGGAGTAGGTCCAAGTGTGACTTTCATGTCAGTTTTAATCCAAACGCAGATGAGCCCTTCCACAAATGTATTAATGAATACGAATAACTGATTCCATATCTATAGACAGTCTACCTCGAGTATACAGTGATATTATATTCCATTGTGAGTGAGTGAGTTTGGTTTTCGCTGCTTTTAGCAATATTCCAGTAATATCACGGCGGGGGACACCAGAAATGGGCTTCACACATTGTACACATGTCGGGATTCGAACCCGGGTCTTCGGCGTGACGAGCGAACGCTTTAACTACTAGGCTACCCGACCGCCCCTATTCCATTGTATAATGATAAATACCCTGGGCCAATTCGCTACAACAGCTTTGTTTTGACCCCGAGTCAATGGGCGACGACAAAACTAGCCGTCCATTGAGAGTTATGGAAAGGAGAGATGGGGACCTCACTTCCGAAACGAAGCTTGGGGGCGAAGGCGTCCAGTGAGTGAGTGAGTGAGGGGGGGGGGGGGGGGGGGGAGGGAGGGAGGTGGAGCGAGCGATATTCCAGCAATGTCTCGTGAGTGGTTGGTTGGTTGGTTTGTTGTTTAACGCCGCACTCAGCAATATTCCTCCTATATGACGGCGGACAATCCAGTGATGTGAGTGAGTGAGGGGGCGAGCGAGAGAGCAATATTCCAGCAATGTCTCGGTGGGGGGACACCTGAAATGGACTTCAAACATTGTACCCATGTGGGAAATCGAGGGAACGCTTTAATTACTAGGCTACCCCACCGCCCCCAGGGTAGTTTTCACAATATGAAATACAATGCACTGGATAATCGAGGATGATCTTTAGTGGATAAAAACAAATCTACACCTTTTTCATCAGAAAGGTTAGTGCAATTTAAAGGCAACATTCTACTGACGGAACAGACATGGATTTCATATAACTTTTTTTTAATGACAAGAACATTAGTCATCTGAATAGCCCATGTCACAAAAATATATATAATTGTATAAAATCATAGAATTGCTAGAGTTAAGTGAACTTCTTGTCCTTTTTAATTTACAGCTAGTTGACGAAGTGAGTGAGTATGGTTTTACCCCGCATTGAGTAATATTCCAGCAGATGGGTTGCCCACCAGCCAAAGGTTGAAGATTCGGATATTACCTTTTCAAACATTTTCTTTCCTTTCAGAAAACAGCAATATAAACCAAGATCCCGCACACATTTGACGCTAACAATAGAACAGTATACTATTTTTGTCAAGGCAGTTTTATTGTTGCTTTGAAAGACCGATGGAAACTCTGATGTTCTATTGTGGCAGCACTGTTTTCATGTATATCATACATATTGTGTACTCTTTCCAGTGGGATCGCACGGAATACAAATGTCCAGATTACTGAGTGAGTATGGTTTTACGCCGCTTTTAGCAGTATTCCAGCAATATCACAGCTTGGGGAATAAACCCGGATCTTCAGCATGACGAACGAACGCTTTAACCATTAGATTACCCCACCGCCCCTCCCGATTAATGAAATATAGGTAGGCATTTCCTTCTTGGTACTTTCCTTTATGAATAAATTGATTCTCCAGATATTTAAATACTCATGTTCTGATGGCATTAACTATGTTTGCAAGGTAAAATCAAACCTCTTTAAACATTATGATTCCACGTTATTCTTCCACTGCATATCACTCAACATTTGCTAAGGACTACACCTTTGACTAAAGATGACGATTGTGGTCCTTAGCAGATGGCGAGTAGTATATTCAAAGCGGAACGCCAAATTGAATTGTGTACTTACCACATGTTAACATATAATTGTAAAAATACATATTTTATCCCTGAATCTTGACCAATCACCTTTCACAATGAAGCATGAACATTGCCATTATTTCTGAACTTAATCGCAACATTTAGAAGACTTACTTCAATATCAAACAACACTCTTTTTAAGATCCTATCAGCATATAAACAATTATACATGTTATCTATGTGATTGGAGTGGAACGCTAACTCTGATACCAAAAAAATACCAAAAAGAAGCTTTGGTGTCATTACCGATTTTCAGTAGTCCAATCATAGATGTTTACAGCTATTTTGCCCTTAAGCCATTTGGAATCTGCTTCGACAGATAATCTGAACTGGTTTTACTCTTGCATTGACAACACCTATTATGTTCATGGTTTTTCCCAGCGCGTGACACATTCGTTACACTCTCGGTGCCATCGCTGCCGCCATTACAAGACTCTTGAAGTTTGCTTTCTTATCCCAAATGTTGTAACGTTTATACTTTTGTTTATGTCTTTGTGAATGCCATCATAGTGAATTTTAAAAGGTTTACGACTGATCATATTTCCAAGATGAATTCAATTAATTTTATATATTTCTTAATCAGAGATTGCAGAAGAACTGGAAAATCGACATACTTCCCCCTTACATTTTTACCATACCAATTACATCATAGTTAAAATGAAATAGAAATGTAAATTGACAAAGAAAGAAAATAATTTAGCTGGGGTTAGGGTATTCGATCAATGTGTCAACACAACAAGAATGGTTGTAGCCACCAATCACAGTGGGGAGCTTTGATTGGTGGCAGCGACAGTAGAGAACTCCGCGGAAGGGGCTATCGCTTTGAGGAGCTTGATACTATATTATGTGTGGCTTAAGCACGCAACATTTTGAATGACAGATTAATACTGGAAGTACACGTAAGGCGTCGCAAACGATGTTCGAGTAATGAAGGCATCCCAGCTAGTCGAACAACGACTGTACATCATAAACATCGCCAAACACGAATGGTATCAGATTCGTTTGTTTAAGCACATCAGTAACGGCTAGGATCACGGACCGCTGACTGGATGGTGTTTGTTCACGTCTTATACATACAACTACAACATGCAACCATGCAGGAGGGTAGGAATAAATGTATGGAACAACGAAAACATTCCCATATCTTTACTGGCTTTCCTGACGTTAAGAAACGTCAATAGCCTAAAGCTTACGCTATCTCATAAACGTAATTAATTGAAGTATTTGATAGACCAGATGTGCTCTTGGTTGTTTTGCAATTGATACTGACGTTACGTTTGCACGAGAACCTAATGATAGAAAATTGACTTATAACCTTTCAGGTCTTCTGTGTCTACAGGCCATTGTTGAAGGCTTGCAAGTTTTGCCATCGCGGCCATCTTGTCTTCCCGAAGGTCACACAATCGAGGTGCAAGGTCAGCGACGAGTGACGTCAGAATGAATTCCCGGTCCGTCTCAAAATCATCCATTCCTTCAGTCGATAGGAAGAAGCCTTGGAATTCTGGGTCTTTTTCAACTTTCACAAGCTGTTGTCCCGATCTATTTGGAGATACAGTAGCGTTAATTTCGTCAAATCCCCAATATATCTTAAGTGACATTTCAGAAGTTGTAGTATCAACGAAGACAGCGTGATATCAACTTCTTTATTTTTCAGTGCGAAAGATGCATTTATCTCGAACATTTATTGATAAAACTACTATCATCATATACACTATCATCCGCACCGAAACATCGCGCTGAAAGAATATGGAAGCTGAAATCTATGTCAAATCTGTGTTCCTCTCGTTAGATATGTTATGCCGCATCTCATTGTAAGATGAATGACATATGACACTCGCGTAGTTTTGTTTGTTTGTTGTTTAACGCCGCACTCGGCAATATTCCAGCTATATGACGGCGGTCTGTATACATCGAATCTGGACCAGACAATCCAGTGATTGAAATCATGAGCATCGATCCACGCAAATGGGATACGATGACATGCATCAGCCAATTCAGCGAGCCTGACCACCTGATCCCGTTAGTCGCCTGTTACGAAAAGCATAGTCACCTTTTACGCCAAGCATGGGTTGCTGAAGACCTATTCTACCCCGGATCTTCACGGGTCCACTCGCGTAGTAATCTCTTTGTATCACAATTTTTAGAGAAACATTTTGTGAAAATTAATCTTTATCAAGGTTAACACAAAAGGGGCACCATCACTGAACGATACGCAATTTTGATTATATGGATGTCGGATATTGCAAAGATCGGCTGTACCGAAAGCCAGACATCACTTTTCTATTTCAATCTGTTTTCCCTTTCCGAATTGAATTATTGGGGGATAAATTCGTAAATCAACTCAAAAAATGGATTTTCGACAAGTATGGCATACGCGGCAACTTGTCTTACCCTGTATCATGAAGTCAGTATCACAACTTCTCACCTTTTTTGTAATTTCTTTACGTTGTCGATGGTGTCGCTGATAGTCTCATACACCTCTCCAATGGTGGTGTAGCTTTTCCCAAGGGTTTGGAAAGCGTTGTCGAGAACTCCCAGAAGGTCAGATAAAAAGTGAATATATTTGACAAACCGATGGGACTTGAAGAAATCCACCACGTCAGGGATACTTGGACAACTCCTGTTCTCCTGCTGTTTACATTAAAAAATATATTAGGAATGTTGAATTTATCTTTATAAGTCACTGAGGTTAGTACAGTATTGCAGTTAATTCACCGAAATGATGCAGGTTCAAGACGTTTGCCACTATGGTGAAACCCACGAGGACAGGTATGGTTCTGACAAACTTGGAAACAAAATCAGGGCGAACCGGGATTTGAACCCACGATCAAAGGTTTCTCGCACACCTAAGGGACGCTACTGATGCAACTCAGACGACTTGGCCATCCGTGCACCAGGTGAGGTTTAACTAAATGAGTGAGGGTGGTTTTATGCCAGATTTATGCCGCTTTTAGCCATAACCCAGCAATATCACTGCGGGGGACACCAGAAATAGGCTTCACATATTGTTCCCATGTGGGGAATCGAACACAGGTCTTCGGCGTGACGAGTGAACGCTTTAACCACTAGGCTACCCCGTCGCCCCTGACTAAATGAATGGCAATAAACCAGTGAATGTTATTTTAAGGCGCAGTCAATGAATCAACAATTTCAGCTATAACATGAACGCCTGTCTGTATTTAAACGGAACTGAATATCGACATTCACAATTTGTTCTTGGTGGCATGAGCAACAAACTACATCGTCCTTATAGTTGTCAGCAAAACTAAAAGTACAGTCAAACACCGGTGTGTCGAAGTAGAAGGGACCTACGGAGACACTTCCGAGTTATCAGAGGTTAGGCCCAACCATAAAATGATGAATAAAGAAGGAATACGCAGGGACCAAGTTTCTACTTCGAGACATCCATACGTTCAACACATCAAAGTTCGACACAACGGCGTTAGGATAATCCATAGGTCCAGGGGGACTTTAGTGCCCGAAATCACAGACAAAAACAGACAGTATTAGAGATACGAATTTAACGATAGAGGCTACGTGTGGACCTACCTTGCTTAATACTTCAATAATACTGGAGAACTTCTTTGTGAAAACAAGAACATCGGCAAGTCTAGCTGAAGGCCACGTTGTCTCCTCACACAGTGACTCTGTGCTGTTCTGGAACGCGGAATCGGGGAACACATCCTCACAAAGTTGCTTCACCAATCTGAGACCGTCTGAGATTTGTTTATCGTAAGGAAGTGGCCTGATTGTCTCCGTCACAAACAGCTGAATTCGGTGGAGAAGACATCGATGCGCAAACGGCGGAGGCGGCAAAAAACCGTCCTGTAGTGACGCCTCCGGTGGAGGTGATGGTGGTGGAGGTGGCACACCTGGCTCTGTTTTTATTTTGATGGCTGCTTTCTCTGGTTTAGGTACATGGCGGACTGCGACTTCCTTGCCCTCATACCACTTCATGTCCACGTTATGGAGGACGCCAATCAGCTTGGGTTTCCAGCTGATGCCATCTAGTTCTCTTCCCAAAGCCTTCTCTAACTGTTCCGAAAAACACCCTTCCTGCTTTGCGTCAACAGTTTGTGCGTTCAATACGTAAAATCGTGGTTTTCCTCGTTCAATTGTTTTTATGTAAAAGACAAGCAGGTCAGCAGTGCGTGACCTTACTGTGTCACATATAACTGAGAAGTGTCTACATTTCTCAATCGCAGCTCGAAGTCGAGGAGTTACAGAATTTGCAATCAGTTTCTGTATAATTTGGCATTCTCCAGCGTTGTGGTGGTCCCCCATGTCCAGTCCTTTGGCTTTGTCCAGGTCACACATCCACGTGTAGTCCTGTTTTGACATGCCTGTCTTCGCGGCAGCATGTGCATTTAAAAACATGGCTTTCACTTTGTGCGAGGGACAAACTTGTGTGACATAACTCTGGGATGTCCCGGGGGATTCTCTCGGACTGTCTACAGAGTCAACGTTGTGGTAGGTGGAGCTGGGGCGATACTGTTGCTTTACCACACACTGAGATGGTGCTGTGTGGGGAGCAAGCTGTCTGACAGGGAACACAGAACCTTCTGAACGTGTCGTGTCCATATTTTTCAAAAGTCTGTCGTGCATGGCCCTGAAACCTTCATTAATCATATCAGTTGTGCTCTTGTAATGAGACGACCTGACGTTGTTGGTGAATAGGTGAATTGGGTGAGCAAACTGCATCGGATGTCCGGCAATAGCAGGTCCAGAAGATGACGATGGAGATGATGCATCTGTTGACGTCTGGTCAGGGCTCCAGGTGTGGAAGACGTCTACGCCAACCCCCGACTTCATTCGAGCGACTTCCTCAGCACTGATATGACCTTTGCTCTTGGCATGACTCTGGAGCGACATGATCTGGAAGTTGGAACAACCTCCTGTAAAGTAAGCGGAAGCTGGATCTGAAACATCGGGGTTTTCTTTGCAGATTCTGCAGAACATCTTTCCCAAAACCTCGTCGAAGAATACCCAGGGATATGCATCCTGCCAGTGGGGTTGGAAACGTCGCATTCGCCGTTCCTGGGGTCTTGCTCTGTCCGCACGGTCATCCGTGGGGCTGACGGAGCCTGAGAACTCCATTGTTGAAATAGTGGAGGAATCTGATGCTAGAGGTCTGATCATCTCGCTAAGTTGTTACCACAGGTCTGAAATGAAAAGGGTTGTTTAATAAGCTTGGATTGATCAGTCGAATGGGTATTAGAGCGAGTGTGTTTGGTTTAATGTCGCTTTGAACAGTCTTTCAATTATATCACGGCGTGTCAGCTTGATATGGAAGGAAAGGAAGGAAAGTGATGCAGGTCCTAGGCCTTCGCTACTTTGGGGAAACCCACACGCACGGGTATGATACAGACAAACCTAGAAACATAACCAAGACGAATCGGGATTCGAACCCACATCTGTAGGTTTCTAGAGCGCCTAAAGGACGCAAATCTGCACAGCGAGTTATGGCGCCTAAGACGATGGGGCCGACAGACAGACAGACAGATATTGGTACGCCATGCTGATTTTCATATATGACCCGTGAAGATCCGGGGTAGAATAGGCAACCCATGCTTGCCGTAAAAGGTGATGCTTGTCGTGAAAGGCGACTAATGGAATCAGTCAGTCAGGCTCACTGACTTGGTTGAAGCATGTCATCGAATCCCAATTGCGTGGATCGATGCTCATGATGTAAATCACTGGATTGTCTGATCCAGACACGATTATTCACAGAACGCCGTCATGTAGCTGGAATATTGCTGAGTGCGGCGTTAAACAACAAATAAACAAACAAATAATACGGACATTCAAAAACCTCTTTAGTACTTAGATTACAAATATATCCAACCAGGACCGCCGTCCTATAAGCTGATATATTGCTGAGTGCAGCGTTAAACAACAAAAATACAAGCAAACATGATTTTCATACACAACTGTATCATATGTGCTACAAATCAAAATATGACCATTTATTCCTTAAAAAAATAAGATGAAAGAATTATACGAAGGGGAGATTTTCTACAGACGAATAATCAGTTTCTAAATTATGGTGAGGAAAGCTCTGGATGTATATGAAATGTATTCTGGGCGAAATTATTGAAGAATGTCAACGAAGTTGCAGTAAAATCACTGGTGTGCCATGACAATAATCCACACCACCCAGTCAACCTTCATTAACAAAATTACCCATTTACCGGACACCTACGATAGTAACCTACTTGACACACGTTATTCAAACCAAGGATGCACATATACTCCCATGCCTTCATGCAAATACGTACCTACGCTACAACTGCTGTGACAATTCACCTTGATCGACATTAGTGAACAAAATGGCTGCTAATCTGGCCAACCGCTACAGCTATGTCGAATCAGTATAACTGTAAAGTCACTGTTCCTCTCGTATAACCGAGTGCCGCTTTAAGCTGGTCGAGCTGTAATACTACGCGGACATTCAAAGTCACGTGACAGCTGCGGATGTAGGTCACTTATCCACCGCTGTGCCCATTATTGACTTAAAGTGGAGCTTCGTGCAGTGTTGCTAGCATTTGTCAACCGTCTGAGCGATTCCTATTCAAGGAAGAGAGCTTGTAGGTTTGGATGACTGTTCGGCTCAGAATCCAGAATGGACGAGGCGGAGAAGGAGCTTAGATGTTTTCGTTTGAAACATTCGATGCAGTTAAAGTTGTTTGAAATGCGAAGTCGGACTCTGAAGAATATATTTAACCCGAATCGTCTCGATCAGATAATAGTAGGTTGGAAACCGGAGATAACAACAAACAAAACCTGTAAAAAAGGTTTGTGATTGAGGCTATAGATGAGGGGTTGGTTTGTTTTACAATAATAATTCAACACAAATTGATATTTTGTGTCCGATCACAAGCAGGGAATTCTTAAGAAGTCACATTCTCTCATATTATTTTTCGGTATCTTTTACCGATATCCCGTTATTTTGACGCTTGAAAATTGAAATAAGTCGTTTAAAATAAATGGAATGGTGTGAAGTATTTGTTCAGTTGTCGGATGTGCCCATGTTCACTCTGCAGAGTGGCGTTCCTTTGAACCCGATGATCGTTGGTTCGAGTCCCTGATTCGCCCTGGTTATGACTCTTGATTTGTCAGCAGTTTCATTTCGGGTTTTCATCCCACTTTAAACTGTCACGCCTTCATGAAATAGAAAATAATATGTTGAAAGCAACCTTAAACTCAACTCACTTACGTAGCGAATCTGATTGTTATTTCATGAGATTATTTATACTATACTGTTATATCTCTCGTTTGTAACAATAAATAATGATTATGATTATTATTATTTCTAATCAAAATAATATTGAGGACTCGTGCAGCCTCTTTATTTCAAGGGGATCCCAGGATACGATTGGTCCACAGTTACATATAGTGCGGGGGGTCAGGGTGGGTGTGGTTCAGAGTTCAGTACGTGTGATATCGTACTCTCATTGTATCAGTTGGCTAGCCCTATAAAACCGGACTTGTACAAGCACCCCAACACACATGCATGCACGTCGCTAAGGAAGTGAAGACCGTTTCCGTGGTCTAGTGGTAGGGTGTCCGCCCGGAGAGCGGAAGGTCCGGGTTTCGATTCTCGGACGCTTCATACCAAAAGACGTTAAAAGATGGTAATTTTGTTGGCGCTCCGCTTTAATGGACTAAAACAAGGCCTGGTCGGCTCGGAGTCTGTATACTGTGTCTGAGTGGGGTATTCATGTTAAACTGGGGCATGGTATCTTAGTTGGCTAGCACTTTAAAATCGGCGTCAGTCCGGACAAGTACAAGCAGACACACAAACACACACAGACACGTGTGCAGTAATCTTGGACGCGACGTTAAACCCCATTTCACCTCAGCAGGGGCACTGCGGTAGCCTAGTGGTTAAAGCGTTGGTTGGGCACGCCGAAGACCCGGCTTCGATTCCCGAGATGGGTACACTGTGTGAAGCCCATTTCTGGTGTCCCCTGTCGTGATATTACTGGAATATTGCTAATAGGGGCGCTTAACCATACTCACTATTTCACGCCCAAGGAGACCAAATCTTGCCTGGAAACGGTGTTTGTTTTGTTTGTTTGTTTGTTGTTTAACGCCGCATTCAGCATATCCCAGCTATATGACGACGGTCTGTAAAATAATCGAGTCTGGACCAGACGATCCAGTGATTGACATCATGATCATCGATCCACGCAATTGGGATCGATGACATTTATCAACCAAGTCAGCGAGTCTGACCACCCGATCCCATTAGTCGTCTGTTAGTCTGGGTTGCTGAAGGCCTATTCTAACCCGGAATCTTCACGGGTCTGGAAACGGTGTTAAACATAATGACTTTCCGTATTTCCTCCAAAACACGCTGGCCTCTAATTGACGCCGGGTCATCCGCTCTATCCAAAAAATAAAAGCCGGGACACAGTTAGATGCCAGGTCTCCAGATAACGGTTTCCTGTGTCAAACTGTGATATATAGGTGTTAATAATGACCGTTTCCTGCAAATCAACCCTTTGTCTGACCACAGAATTTGGGATTCAGTTAGGTAGTGAGTTGCCATTGTGACAGCATTAAACAGAATAGACGCCAGGGCCCCGTTCCACAAAGCCATCTTAGCGCTAAGGTGATCGTAAGTCCCATGCTTTAACACTGGCTTACGTGGTCGTAACGCTAAGATCGCTTTGTGGAACGGTGCCCAGGTCGACGGCTAACGCGAAATTGATATTCTCCCTGGGCGTTTGATAAAGGAAGTACGGTATTTACTGAATAAGGCATGTAGTTCATTAAGTAGGCCTGTTTCACACTTCTTCGATTTCTGGAACACATGTACACTGTGGATGCATAGTGGCATACCTTTACGTTGAATGAAAGATAAATAATAGACCGAAACAAATGCAACGTCTTGATCTTCAAACATCAAATACTTAATTATACAATAGAAATAATATATTTATCATCCAAAACTGGCTCCCACAGGAGATATCGCTTGGGTGAGATCAAGCGATATCTACACTGTAGATATCGCTGCAATGAAATTGCATCACAATGCTTTGCAGACCATTGTGGCGTCATTGGTTACCATGACATCACAATCAAATGACATCACTAATGGCTCTGCTAATGAAGCTGTAAGCAGTACTTTTTACATTTAAGACACTGCTTATTACTGTCTACAAACTGAAAAGGTTGGAAGAATGATGTTGGATGATAAATAAAATCTCACCCTCGTGTCTTTTGATATCAAATATATCAACACTCGTTGATAAAAGTGGAAAAAATCCTCAGCAAGCCTCGGAGTTTTCCCACTTTTATCGACTCGTGTCGATATATTTGATATCAAAAGACACTCGGGTGAGATTCTCTATATAAACAACTGCGTAACAAAAAGAATGGGTGCACGAAGAAAGTATATATTAAACTTATTTATTCTGGAATCAATTACAGTCAATAGCTGTCGATATGTTGCAGAAACGCAAAGATACATAATTATCATATAGATACATTCCCATGCGATTAAACATGGGGTACGTTAAATCCTTTTGAACGCATCAGATCGAGTCGCATTCAAAAATTGTTTCAGTACATTTGGTTATATATCAAAACATGATGTGCCTATATTTTGACACAACATTAAACAACGTTCGAAGTGTGAATCCAACCATTCTTTTTATAACAACCGCAAGGCACGTCACAGAATTTACCAGAAATTATGGAAATATGTGTTACAACCCCCCGTTGAGAGCCCCTTTGGTTGACAAAGCTCCTTACACCTTTTCAAATCTGATATGCACAGCAAATCAATACAGAGTGGTGCGTAGAGCTGTAGAAACAAAGCGGGGCGAGTACAGTTTCGTCAAGCTACGAAGGACATTGTTTCCTCGCGATTCGATGGACTCCGGTATTGTTCGGCTGTAGTACATAAATGTGTCAGTTTGTCAGAGTGTCCATTATTAATTTACTTCTAGAATGAAAAACAATGGTGAAAAACGGGAATATAGGCGTTGATCCAACTCCACTGTGGCACAGGCATGACCAGGCGTGTTTTCTGGACGTGACAGAGGGGAGACATCCCTGAGAGCAAGTCATTGTTTGCATGCAGAGGATTTCCTGAATTTCTTTTAACAAAAGTCAGTCCCCAAAAGTCTGCAGACAGATAATAACTTCATCAAACCACAGAAACATTTACACAAATTATGGAGGAAATTATCCGTATAATCACTTCATAGTTCACGGCGGTAGCGTGGCCGAGCGGTCTAAGGCGCTGGTTTAAGGCACCAGTCTCTTCGGAGGCGTGGGTTCGAATCCCACCGCTGCCATATACTTTTTGTCATATTATTTTTTGCGTTAAAAAACTGCGTATAAACGTAATACCGTTTTTTTTAACCAAACGTGTGACCAAAAGAGAAATTTATGTTGCCTAAAATCCTAGAGGAAAACATACTTTTTGGGAGTGGTTTTGTATGGAGACTAGATATTTGTTTCCGCTATAGAGTTGAAAAACACCTTTTTTCATAATTAACTATAAGCCTTAATATTTTTGAAAAAATCCATCTTACAACAATGCGTATTTTTTCGCAGACAATGTCTTTCTTCAGAACAGTTTGAAGCATAAATATATTTTTCAAGCGTTCAAGCATGTCTTGAATATTCTGTCTCGAAGAAAGGTTCCAGGCGCTCTCCGTACTACATGCCAACACTGATAAACACAATATGACTTTGTTGACTTATCTCATTTGTGGCCTCAGTGCTGTGTTTGTTTGTTTGTTTGTTGTTTAACGCCGCACTCAGCAATATTCCAGCTATATGACGGTGGTCTGTAAACAATCGAGTCTGAACCAGACAATCCAGTGATTGATATGAGCATCGATTCACAATCGCAATTGGGACGCGATGACATGCATCAACCAAGTCAGCGAGCCTTACCACCCGATCTCGTTAGTCGCCTCTTACGACAAGCATAGTCGCCTTTTTATGGCAAGCATGGGTTGCTAAAGACCTATTCTATCCCGGATCTGTAGAGTATGTACGCCATTAATACAGGCAGTCGACCCTTGACTCAACTTCTTAAATCTTAAATGGCGTTTGAAATATCCTTTTTCACTAAAAAATATTTTGATATTGAAATGTATGGGCTGTGGATGGCGAAGATCTCATCGTTATTATGGGATAGGGAAAAATCAAATATTTGTTATGGCTGGGATGTCGAAAATCAAATCTTAGTTGTGGTCGAGATGGAATATTAAGTAAAAGCTTATTTATTGCCCCGATAGACGAAATTTAAACTTGGCTGTGGTTGGGTATCGGAAATAAAATCTTGGTTATGGTTGGGATGGAAGAATAAAAGCTTATGTATGGCCGTGACAGCGAAATTAAGGTTTAGTTATGCCGGGATAGAAAAATGAAAGCTTATTTATGGCTTTAATCTTTCCAAC